TCAATGCGGTTCTTACTGGTTCTGTCCCCCACACACGTCGCTCAACTGTGTCGCCAACGGTTGGTCTAAAGCACTTCTTGAGACAAGACGTGTCCACAAGGATGCCAGTACATCTTTTGGACCTTCAGTACTTTAAGTTTTACGCCTCTAAGTTCCGGGACTTGTTCCAGGTACTTTACATTGATTTCAACGTAGTTTATGCATTAAATATAAATAGAATAGGCGGTTTTATGCATTATGATATTACTATTATGTTATGACATAGGCATATCATTACTTTGCATTTTACGTAAAGTACTGCTACCATCAAACGACACTCTCTAAATAAACGGAAATCGCACATCTTCGGATCATTCGGATGATAAACTAAACAAATCTGTATCGTGTTGTACAAAGTCTGGAATAACAAAGGACAAGGTACAATTTTATTTGGCTACAAGTCACCATGGCGACTCTTTCTCAGTAAAAAAACCAGTTTACCTTTTATCCATTCCAGTACCTCTTCAGGTTAACCATTTGTTTTATATTACTTGGGACTGACATCGAGCTCAAAATTGATCAAACCTCACATTATTAGTTGTAAGAAGTAGTCGGCTCTGATTTCGTCCCAGGGCCACCCGTGCGCCGTGACATGGTCACGTGTGATCCTGGATTCAGCGTTGGATCACACGTTTTATAATTTTAACATAAAATGGACGTCTTCCTTCGGTACGTGCATTGCGTCGGGGCGAGAGAAATTGAGGTTCACACTGAAAACGAGAAAGGAGGCACCACCGGTCACAAACTAGCAAGGGTGGTGCCCCTTTCGGAAGTGATTAACGTCATGGGTAGTTCCTCGACATTTTCGGCGCGTCAAAAACACACCGCCAAAAAGTCAACTTTCGGGTCACCGCTAGACGGGTAGAGGTAGAGTTATCTATACGCATGTTTCCCCGCCTGACCGGTACACACACCAAGACCTCGCTTATGTCTTCCTGCTAGCAAATATGATACGGCAAATTGTGTAGCAAATGTGAAAAAAAAGGCAAACCCCGCCAAAAAAACCGGCGATTGTAAAGTCGTAGCACATTCAAGCGACTGTCCAGTGTATGGACGGGAGGCGTGCGCTCCGAGGGCGAGCAACTGAAGGTGCTCAAACAGCTCGAGGAATGGGGGGGGGGGCAGACATTAGGGGGTTGCGCTAGGAGCATGCCGTGCGACTATTGTTAACCCCCAACCCCCTCGCGCCATTTCGTTAGATACCTGGGACTTAGGATTGATTCGAGGAGCGAGGTATCCTTTCTTACGCGCGGTCCCAGTCCCTTGGAAGTAGGGACTTGTCATTTGTCGGAGTACCGCGAACACGAGACAGTATCTGGACCGTTGTTGTTCGACGAGGCAGGAATTTTCTCTATCGTCGTATGTGGTTCCGGAATCTGGATACGGGTAACCCTTTTCCTTCTGTCCACTCTCATCTTTGATACTTCAACGAGTTGTCCAACTTATGGATTCGTTTACTAAGGGGTTGTGGTGACTTACGTTTAATAAAGTAAGTAAAATGTTGAGAGTGTATCTTTCTGTACCTCTTCTTGTTAGGCGTCGCTCCGACGCTACGTCGTCTGGCACGGTTCGTGGTTTGTCTTGCGAAGTTTCTCTACGCTTCCGTCCGTCTCTTCCTGCTTCTCCCTCGAAGTCCTTGTTTGAGATACTACCGATGTTCAACGCCTCCCTGCTAGGCAAACGCTCGTCTACTTTGCGGGTCTTTGCTGCGTACGTTCGTTGAGCTCGTGTTTGCGCCTCCACGCTCTTTGACTATCTCCTGTCTTCTGCCCGTGCGTACTCCGGCCGTTCCATTGCTTTGGTGTGAGACAAGATAGGTTCAATTTCGTCACGACCGAAATTATAGTCCACAATTACGACGAGCATGTGATGTGACACAGTGTATGGTATAGCGGGCAAATTAGTACTAATATAAAACTTAGAAGTGCCTGTTCTTTGCGTTCATGGTGTACATACGTTACCTCCTTTTTCGTTTTGTGTGATGTGAGTACAAAGTGACACGTTCGATACCTCTATGAAGTTCTAAGTTACAGTATACGTCGACATCGAGAGAAGTGCTGTGTCTGTGTCCAAGGAACATTTTGCCCGCAAATAAAGAACCTGAAAAGTTAGAACGTCGGGGAGGGGAGAAGGCAATGCGGCCTCTTGATGTTGTGCTTATTGTGCATATAGTATACGTTTGTATAATCGTACACACACGATGTGTATACTTGCACTTTTATCTGTGTACCTTTGGTACTTTGTTTATGGAAGCAACCGGCGAACAGTAACTTTTTCTAATTAGGAAGAATTTCGAAGGAAAGGGCATATTGGAACAGTTTAGATTTTGAAACAGTGTCTGAAGTCGTCTCGAAGTTTATTCTGCGTTGGGTGCAACTCAACAGTTCACATAGTTGGTTTTGTGGTCATGGTCCTGCACTTGTTGTAATCAAGGATCGGGTCGCTTTGTTGTTTGGGAATAACCAAATTGTATATTTTTTTGACATAATTTAGTAGCGGTATAAATTGCTAATATTATATGTACTTTATTTCATAAATAATAACTCTAAAATTGTGGATACTTTAATTAACGGAACAAGGAAAAATTAATTCCGTTGAAACAATGTAGTAAATGTACCGTGGTCAGTGTTTGCCATCAAAGCTCCAACTCTCCTCGTGTCTCTCTGAGTCCTGACTCTCCATTGCTTCAGAAGTATCCCCCACAAGTGGAGCTTTTAAATTCATAGCCCGGAGTGTCTCTGTACATCTCTTTTCTCATGGTGGTTTCATTTTTTCATTAACAAAACAATCGTTTGATAACTAGCATGAATGTCTAACATGAGAGAAAGTAAAGCAAAGATACTTACTATTTCTTTCTGCCTGTGAGCCTCTTCTTGTTCTTCTGAATGAAGTTCCTCACGGACTCGCTCCATCTCTTCTTGCTGCTGCCTTTTCGCCTCCATTTTCTCAGACAGCTAGGGAACAGAGAGGAGTGCCAGATATACAGTTATGTGTCGTTGAATGAAAATCTAAAAAGTATTGGGATTTAAAAAACATAGTTGTCTAAATGATTACGATTTTATGAAAATGCTCCTTGGCTTCTTCTCTCTCTCTGATCTTGGCCATCTTGCTCTCCTCCATGTGCTCCTGCTGGCTCGCAAACTCCACGATGCGCCTGTTCTCCGCCTCCATCCTCTCTCGCTCCATGCGTCTCCACTCCGCCTGGTGCTTCTTGAAGTCTTCGATATGCTGCTGAGTGGCTCTGACCTTCTCCAGCTTCAGCTGCCTCTCCCTTCAGGAGAACAACATCATTTTAAAAAACCCACACACTACCAAAGGCTTATCTCCTTCTTGGAGAAGAAACGGAAGCTAGTAGAAACTCTATGTTAAATGCATCCTGCAGCATTTTGAGTCAAGGACAGATACAGATATTTAACTGGTAATCAGAATCAGAAACAGGTTTATTGCCAGGTAGGTTCACACATACGAGGAATTTGACTTGATGTCATGGTGCAGACATCAAATATAAAACAAACAATCTTTAAGGACAGCGTAATAAAATACAGTTAAATAGCAATAAGATAAAGCAGTCATTTACATGGAAGTAGAATGCTATGAATGAATTATAGGATATAAAATATGAAATATGAAATAAGAATATGTGCAGTAAGCAGTGTGAACATTGTGTGCATTAATGTAATGCATATAGAGACTACGTTGTGGCTGAGGTAAGTTTCAGTGGGGGGGCCGGGCCTTGTTTAAGAGGCCGGTAGCAGAGGGGAAGAAACTGTTCAGGTGGCGAGAGGTTTTGGTTCTGCCAGAGGGGAGGGGGGTGAACAGTTTGTGTCCAGGGTGGGAGGGGTCGGCCACTATCTTCCCTGCCCCCCCCCCCTGATTTAAGTCACTTAAATCACATGTTCTTTACTCAGTATAAACATGGCCAACTCAAACCCATGGAATATGTATTTCTAGGTAATATCAAATCCCTTCATTGTTGGGTTAATCTAGAAAATGTGTACTTTTTTTTTGCAATTCTCTTAAATGCTGTAAATATTGCGCTGAAGGACTCACATCTGATCCTCATCGTAAATCTTTCTGACGATCTCATCCACCAGGAGCTTCTCTCTGAGGAACTCCTCGTACGCCTCTTGTCTCTTGCGCTCCTTCTCCATGAGCTGCAGCTCCAGCTCTCTCTGATACTCTACCGTTTCCTCCAGACGTTTCTGCTCCAGCTTCAGCTTCTCAGCGGCCAATCGCTCAAGTTCACTCTTCATCTTGCGTCCTAAATCTGCCACCTCGCGCTAATTCAAAGAAAAGACATAAACTGAGGAAAATATTCTGTGTTTTTGTGAAGTTAATAGCTCCTTGTTACTAGCTCCTTGTTACTAGCTCCTTGTTACTAGCTCCTTGTTAATAGCTCCTTGTTACTAGCTCCTTGTTACTAGCTCCTTGTTAGGAGAAATAAGGATATGTTTCACTCCTAACTGACCAAAAGTGAATATCAATGCACCTTAAATATGGGACCTAATGCAAAAAGGTAATTAATCCTCTTTTAAACAAATGTACTTCATAAACAGTCCCTTCAGTATGTTCTTAATTAGATAATACTGGATCTCTATCCGTGAGCTGCAAAGAAAAATCTAGTTATTTAAAATGAAATATTTTAAGAACAGAATTAATCTTTTACAACCAGTGGTTCAGACTCAGGTTATGTTGTTGGAAGTAGCTGATTGAAATGAATGCAGACGGTGCTCACCATTGTCTCAAGCCTCATAGCTTCATGCTCGGCAATCTGCGCCGCTCTCTCTTTATTCAGATAGGCAGACTTCAGCTTCGACTCCAGCTCTCGAAGCTCCATGCTGAAAAGTATTCAAACCGACTTGATCATAGGTACTGAAGAGACCAAAGCAGAGAAAGACAACACAACAGCAAGAAAGCATTTGCATTTTGAGCCGGATTATAAAGTGAGTCCAGGTTATGGAGCATGTGTAGTAGGTGTACCTGTTCTCTTTAATATGCTGCCTCATTTTCTCTTCTCTTTGGGTCTCACAGTCGATGCGGGCCAGCTCTTTAGCCAACCTCTCCTCTTGTTCTAGTTGTTGTTTTCTGGTTGCTCTCTGCTCCTCTGCCTACAAGTCAAAGATAGTTATGATTATAAACATCTGAGTTTAGGTAAGTTACAGTACTGTGTATCATTACATGTTTAACTGGTGATAACCAATAAGACAGACATTTACCATGGATCAAATTAGATAATTGTTCCTTAAAACAGGTTCCTCATGTTACCCACTAAATGTTTTTTACCTTCACCTGAAACTGGTTTGCCATTTGGTGATTTTTTTCAGTAAAATAAAAGGGGCCGCTCAATTTGAAGATTTGTTTATTTATATTATCTTGTGTATTTGGTGTGTGTTTTTTTTTACAATAGCATGAAGTGAACAGCAACTTATTGTGAAATACTGTATAATGGCTCCCCTAGAAAGCTTTTTAGGACTAATGGTCAAAAGAGTGTCTTTCCTGCTCTTTGACAAGAGATGGGAGTGTAAGGGAAAACAGTACAACTGATGCTGTGTATAAAAAATATCATATAATCGTAAGAGGGCCGAACAAATATTGGCTTAAGTGAGAGAGGCTTATTGATTTTATAATGGCACAAGAGTAAGAATAAGGTATACATATGGTCTTGTATTCTTAAACGTATTCCTCTGTGATCAGGATCAATGTATTTGTATGTTATTTTATGTATTGAGTGTTCCATACAACTTATTTTTACAAAGCCATCTCCTTGTTTATTTTGTTGAAGCAGCTTTTAGCTTCTCTGCTCCGCAGACCAAACTTCCTAAGAATCTGAAGTCTGCCCCAAACCCGGGTTCTTTCAAATAAAGGCTGAGAAACTTTCTCTGTATGCTGATTTTCCAGAGACCATCTGACTAGGTGTTATCATAGTTGGTGATATTGGTGATGTTTTTAATGTTGTTAATGATGTAAGGACTTATGTCCTAAATGTTGCTGTATTATTGTTGTATTATTGTTGTATTGTTTTAAGTGTCGGACCCCAGGAAGAGTAGGTTTTGTCGAGAGCAAAAGCTAATGGGGATCCTTAATAAACATAAACATATCATAGCACTCCAGCACTTGGTGCATTATCTGTATTTACAATGTACATTTTCTAACTATCCTTTCATGAGTTGTCTTTTTGTTCAATTCATTTTGTTTTTAATTATTATGTTTTAAGCACTTTGAACCCGGAAAGGTTTACACGTATGAGGAATTTGACTTGGTGTCGTGGTGCATACACACAAGTAAAGCAAGAATTAAAAACACAGGTAGAGAACTAGATTTTTTTTTAAATAATACAAAATATAGTAAAATATAACTGTATTTACATTGCAATGGAATGGAATAAAAGGGAATAAAATATGGAATAAAAATCGGTAGTGATAAAAAAATAAAGAAAACAGATATTGTTGTACATTGTGTGCATTAATGTAATGTAATGTAATGTAATGCGTAATGCAACTAACCTTAACCTTTGTTTATCCCTCTTGTTCATGGGGTGACACGGTGTAGAGATGGGACAATGGTAAAGGATGTATATTCACAAAAACATGTGTAAATTATTTGTTTTGTGTAGGAAAATTTGATGCCAGTGATATCAAAATAATGCAGCGGAGACAGGGTGCCCTGCGGAGCCGACCCACAATGCCTTAGTGAGGAGACCCACTTACCTGGATGAGAGCGGCCTCCACTTGTCTGTCCCTCAGCTCCTCCTTCACCTGCCTCAATAGCCTCTTCCTCTCGAAGCTGTCCTCGTGCCGCAGCCCGGCCTGCTGCTGCCGCTCTCTGTCCGCGCGCCCGGCCTCCTCCTGCCGGTGCTGCTCCTGGTTCTGCCTCTGAGACATCAGCCTCTGCTGCTGGCTGTACGCCCGGTTACGACTCTGTTCCAGTGGAAAAGACACGTAAGAAAACACTGAATAAACTCAACAGGTGCTGCGTCAACAGGTTGATGTTAGCTGCTCTGCTTGTAGCAGTTAAGCTAAAGGTAAGTTTAACTTCGGTTCAGCAGAAAGTTTACCATGTTTGAGGTGCTTTTCGTCGATGTCCTCCTTCCCGACTAAGTTAATATTAACTCTTTAATTCGTAAACAATTATTAATTTATTAAATTGAAGTTCATATTGATGCCGTTGTTATCCTGACGAGACGCTAAATTTTCTCGGTGTTGTTTGGCATCTGGTTGTCCTAGGAACGCCGCGTCGCCGTAAGCTCGGCCAATCAAAATGAGCTTGAACCATGACGTCACCTGCCGGTAAAATCAAAATCTCTTCTTCACTTCACAGCTTCATGTTTACCAGATTCATTTTAAACGTAGCCTGCTGTTTGACTAGGCTATCTATAATGTACGAATGCATGTATGAAGTCAAACATTATCAATTGTCAACAACTAGTAAATGTTTTTGACTTGTTATAGCATTTTTTGTATTTGTATGCAATGAAATGAAATGCATGTACTGAATATTTTTTAGTGAAAAACTGGAACAAACACATGTCATTTTATAAATGTACTGAATATTTTTTAGTGAAAAACTTGAACAAAAAAATGTCATTTTATAAATGTATCATATTTCCCGATAATGTTCGAAAAATAATCTTGTATTTTCAATTTTCAAATGTAGTGATAACGATCAATTCATGAACATTTTATGTAATGCACTCAATTTGTGATTTGGTTATGTGTTTTACAGAATTTCTATCTTCAATAAAACTTGCAATTCTGTTACAATTTTGAGAAAGCAAATGTGTGCAAATCACTCTTAGTCTATACTTAAATGTAAATGTTTAAATGTGTTTCATTACTTATCATTCATTTTAAATATAATGAGCTTTATTAGCAGTGCACTTTGAATCTAGCAGTGAAATTCTTTATCTCTTTGATTGCTCAATAAGGGGGGGAAACTTGTCCTTTACATCAGTGATGCATCAGGGCAACATTCAGATAAATAACACTCAAAGCGTCAGACTTTTTGTATTGAAACTGTATTTACAAGAACAGGGAAGCATTAAACCAAACCCAGGGGTTTTTGCTCTCTCGGTGAACACAATATATTCAAACAAATGTCAAAAACTCTGGAATACATTTACAGTGCCATCATAGACAAAGATGCATTTACAGACGTCCTCTACAGATTCTGTATATACAAGTGAAAACCCTTTTTAAAAACCTATGAAATAACTTGAAATATTGAGTCAAAGTGAACAGGTTATCCAGAGGTACAGGGACTTTTCTTTTTAAAACTGTTGATGCAAAATACAATGAATCATCCATCAACAGGCAGCTGTAACATAAAAGTGTCATGCTGAGTAACTCCACAACAAGCAACATGTTCACCTTTCTTTCACAAGCTGGCACATTCACATCATTTAAAAGTAAGACAACAAATGAATGGTATTCACATATTATTCGGCTCAATCCTCACACAGTTGTGGTTATTTTTTCACACTATACCCCCTACCATTTCTTAATTGTCTGATATATTTCCAACATGATTTTTCTAAGGGAATAACATCTCAAGCTAGACATTTCTATACATGTCCGATATATTTCTTAAAAACAATTGTCTGACTGTTGACACACGTTTCTCTGTCCAGAAAAAGGCATTAAAACATTTTAGTATTTATTATTTTGATGGGAAGACAGAATTGAAATTGTATGAATAAATCCCCAGAAACAACTTGAGCATCTGCCACTGAGTGAGTTTCACAATCAGTTGTCATCTGACAATTTAGTCCTTTTTCTCGACCAAGCAAACCATAAATGATCTTAACTGTCCTTAAAAAGGTGAGCCACAATCATCAAGGTTAATGATGTTAAGAATGACAATACTTTATTATATGGCTTTTAGGACAACAAAGAAGACTTTAATTATTGTATTTTTCTATTAAAAACATACTAAAATACTCAACATCCTTTTAGGAAATGGTATTTTAACAGAAGATCTATTTATATTTTCGTTGTTGGATTGGACTTTGCTTAACACATGAACTTAGAGGGGAATGGTGGAAAATACCAGCAGCAAAACACCATTTTTTTTTTTTTCATATTTTTCTATATTAATGAAAACAATGCCAAGGTCTGACTGATGGACTCTAAATGAAATACCTAGCTATACATGTGCATGGTGTTCGTTGTAGAGGTTCATTCTGATTTGGTTGGTTGTTCCCTTTTCTCATGCTCAGGGAGCTGCTCACTTTCTTTCAGGCTCTCAGAGTTACACACTGACTCTGATGCACAGGAAGACGATACAGCGGGCAGCAACAAGTGTCCTTCAGAGGAACCTTCAACCACACTGATTTCTGTGGAAGCCTTTTCGCTATCACCTGCTGGTACAATCGGCTCTGGTCTATCCACAGTGGCGAAAGGCAGACTTTCAACCACTTTCAAGTCCATTTCCTTTGGTGTTAAAACAGGCACCGTCGTCAACAGATAGAACGATTTTGCTGGCTGCCTCAAGAAGAGATGGCTGCAGGAAGGGAAGAGGACATCATTTTAAAAGCATCCTTTAGATTTACATGCAGCAATATGCTATCGTCACTTTTTAAGCAAAACACACTGCAAACAAAACGTATGAAATAGCGGTAGTGAAAATGTGTTAGCAAGCACTCTATCATTATTAAAACCAAAGAGGTTACAATGATGTAAAGGGCTGTAACCAACACATATTTCCATTATCGTTTAATCTGTGAAAGCACAGGTGATGTCTTTAAGGGTCTTTTTTTGACAGTCCAAAACCCAAAGATATCCACCTTAATAAGACACAGTATTAAACTGAGAAAAGCAAGAAATATACATTTTTGAGAGGCTAAAAACTGTATATTCTGCCATTTTTGCTTTAAAAAAATCTTAAACAATTATAGTAATAGTTGGTGAATATATTTTTCTGTTTATTGACTTTGGAACCTCTTTGTGTTGTTGAAGAAATGTGTCTTTATACCAATAATTGACTGGCTATTAGTCCATCAAGCATCACTGCCTGCTGGAAATATTGTTTCAAATTAAACAATTAATTGGCTGTATAAAAACAAGTTTTTTTAATCACAGATAAAAAGCAGAAGAGTTTCATATGGTTAGTGAAAAGACAGGGAGCAATGTTGTAAAACAAAGCACTTCTAGTTCTGGACTTTCCCTTCAATCAGACCACACAACATGTGATTTACAGAGCAGATTTGTAGCAAAAGCAGAAGAAAAACATGCAATTTAATTCCAGCGGGTTTTAGATTTTAGTAAATGTTATTTGGTCTTCGACATTTGTTGTGTTATGATTAATAGATTAGAGATAATCGAACAACAAGATGTAAAGTGGGTAGTAGTTTCTACTCACACTCGACCTTTGGCTTTGATATCTGCTGGGTTAAAAACAAAGGACAACCTTTCAAGAAATGTGTCACACTACACACGAGCCATGAGTCAGGCGTTATAGGTGAAAAGAAAACGTACCCTTTTCCTGAATGACTTTGCATATGTGATTTGGTTGGTCAGTTAAATGTCTGGTCATCAGGTCACCGCCTGTTGCGTCCATGAGGAGGTCGCAGTTCAGACAGACCAGAGTTATTCTGGGGAATAAACAAACCGTATGTGATGTCTAATTTCAAACAGAAAACACTCTGTATTTAATGTTGAATGCAGAACAGACTTTATGAAGCGTATTTACTTTGAAGCCGATGAAGCCTTCTTGTGATTCATTTTCAAGAATCTGTTTTTGGTTATGGTACTATGAAATCTAACAATGAGGAAAGACAAATATGTTAAACGATTAATCAGATAAAAAAACTGAGTTAAACGTAAGGTAACGTTTTTCTCTCACCTTATCATATGATTCCCAATGGCGACTTTGCAACTCGTCCGATATTTGCACGCACCGCAATTTGAAATCATTGGGAAATGAGAAAAGAAGTGGTCCACTTGTGTGTTGCACTCGATGCATGTGAATTGTCCTCCATCGACTCTGAAATTTGGGCATTAAAAAAAAGAGAGAACAAAACACCAATATATTCAAGCATGGACGAGACAATCCAGATTTTAAGACACTGACAACTACTAGCATAGCTGTTAGGATCTCACAGTGGGTTTATTGAAGCAGATGAACAAAGTAATTTACTTTGTTATTTATGAGAGGTCTGCAGGTTCTCTAAATTCTTCAGCTACATCTTTTATCTTGTGATCTTATGGGTCATTATGTGATTTAAGATGGCATATTGTTTTTGATTACTGAGCGCAATTAGCCAAATATCCCACTCATTAGTTTAAGAAAAAGGAATAATCGCTATACTCTATATTATTTTTAGCCAGCCTAATGATAACTGTCAGGAAAATTAATAAAAAAGGTCATTAGCTCCTTTGTGTATTCCTATGCTTTAATAACACCTATTAATCTGCTTCCACCCACCAGGAGGTGGGGCCCTAAATTAATGATTAAGATGAACATGCTAAAGATTACAATTTTATTGGAAAGGGATGGTAGTGCTAAAACGTTCTTATAATGTTTAAATTGTTGCTAATATAGGGATGTCATAATAAAATAATTAAAAAGTTGATATCATGTTAAAGGTACACACATTATAAGACCCTATCTCTAACTCCCTGTACTCGTATTGAGAGAAATATATCTGACAAAAGACAAAACACACTATACACAAAAAATAGATTTAACCGATAGCATTTTTATCATTATTGAGATTATATTTATTTAAATTCTCAATTGAGATAAAATCAATATCATAAATGATTTAAGCCACGCTAATCATGCGGTCAATATAAATATTTTTCAGTCTGTTGAAGCAAAGAATCCTGTTAAAGATGTGGTTCTTGCTGTGTGTGAAGTTCACCTGATGTTCCTGAGCGACAGATTGTGTTTGTTGGACTGGAGATCTTTCTTCTTGCTCGCCTTGGCTTTTCCTGCAGAGACGTTTGACTTGGACTTGGATCCACTGACAGCAGGCTTGGTTTTTGGGTTGAAACTTTCTGGGGTGACAACAAGGCTGGATGGATCAGTGCAGCTGTTCAGCGTTGGAGCCTTTCCTGTGAGGGACGCTCGGATGGTCACCTGGAAGAAAAACACAATGCACATTCAAATTCAAATGTATAATTTTAAGACTAGTAAACAGATCTTAAATAAATGTTGTAGGGTCACACCTTGGTTCCTGGAGGAAGACCTTCCAGAGCTTTGGGTTTTTTAAAGGTTTTGTGGACGTTATTCTTGTGATCCAGTTTCTCCCTGTATGTGAGAAAATTCAGTCTGCATTTTCCACAGCGATGGATCTTTTTTCTCTGAAAAATAAAGAAAGTAAAGAAAAACATGATTAAGCGGTGCGACTACAGGCTAATTGCTGAGATTTTTTATTTGGAATCACTTAAAGAATATTGGGAGTAAGAAATGAACTTCTTTGTTATTAATAGAGTAGAAATGAATTTAGTTTGGTTCCAACTCTTCCATATTCATTGCTCCTCTAGGTGAAGAGAAACAGGTTTTCCTGTCAGGCTTTTATTTATTACGTTACGGTGTAAGGCAGACAACCAAATCAATCCAACCTAGGTGATGAAGCCAATACAAACCAAGAGCGACTTCCAACTCCTGCAAAAATACTTTTACAATCTTAAGAATTCGCAATAAACACATTGCTGTGTCAGCTATAACTCAAAATCTGTGTTTCAAAATGATACTTTAGATAGGCTTTACACATTTTTTATGAGACTACATTAAAGGAGTGTCTCACCTGATGTTTCATGTAGTGTTGCATGTATAGAGGACCACTTCTAAGAACTTTGAGACAGAAAGGACAGAGCAGGTCTTTGGTGTTATCATGGACACTTCTGAAATGTGTCTCCACGTCTGAGAAGAAAGACGACCTGTAATCGCAGACCTGTGAGGGAGTAAAGCATAGTGTGAATATTCTCTAACATTCAAATTAAAATCAAATCCCGGTAATAAAGTGACATACGCTGCAGATGTAAGGCATTTCCCCAGGCTTGTGGTTGTCCTTCATGTGTTCCAGGAGAACCTGCTCCGACTCAAACGCCAGCTCACATATCTTGCAATTTGCTAGAAAAAATTAAAGGAAAGAAAAATAACATTACAAATGGCTACATTTGAGCAGATTGATCAGATTAAGCTGTATAGATATTTATGTCATACTAGAGGATTCGATGGAGCTGTGAGCGCTCTCGATGTGGCACTGCAGCTGGAACGGAGTCATGTACTGCCGGTAGCAATGCTGGCAGGTGGTGTAGCTTTCCCAGCTCTCACTGTTCTGCTTCTCCAGCTCCAAGTGGTGCTTCATGTGGTTCATGAACCTGAGAGACAGGGTAAACACACACTGAGTATTAAAGGTCCCCTATTATACTGTTTTTCATCAATATATTATAGGTCTCAGATACAAAACATGTCTCTGAAGTGTTTGGCTCCAAAAACCAAACAGATCATTGCAGCATCCCATAATCCCCTCTGTTTCAGCCCTGTTTCAAAAGAGCCGATTCTCTGTCTGTTACTTTAGATAAAAATAAGGAGCCACTCCCCTCTGAGAGATATCTGGTTAAAAAGAACACAATGCTGCTCTACGAGGCGATTCAGGTGATAAGGTGGGGGGAGGGGTTACCTTGGTTGGTGATTGGCTAATGGTTACACAAGCCAAAAAATCGTTATGACATCATAAAGTGTCCTAAATCTGATCATCTCATTTTCAGACAGGTTTTTATATAAATGGATCAGGACAAAAAGTGAGAGAATCTTTTTTCCTGAAACTTTCAGAATCTCTTTACACAGAGGGGACACATGTTTATGTATAAAAGACATGAAAAAGTGGAATTTGCATAATGGGTGACCTTTAAAACCACATTTTAAGAAGCGAAACGTAAATGATCAGCCTGCTTGTCCCTGTAGTTATGTTCATCAATATGTTATGATATCAGATGCAAACAACTTCCCAAAAAACTTCCCTGTAAATGTGAGAATTCATCAAATTCAATAGGTTTAATTTACAGGAAAAATTTGTGTTTAAGACTTTTTTTAAAACAGTAAACTAAATATCTTATAGTTGTAGACAGGACAATACATTTGAAGACGACAACCTGGGCTTTTGGAAACACTGATTGGATTTTTGTTGGGAGAAAAAAAAAAATAATTGAGGAAACAATCGATAATTAATTGCTAATGAATATTTAAAAGTACCGGTAATTGTCAGTTGCAGCTCTAAAGTAATTGACATAACATATTTGAGGCTATTCATTGACAAATAATGGTTTAATATAATATGTATAATTATATATTATTTGTCTATTTAATAAAAATAATGTACATTGATCTCTCAATTCGCAATAGCCATTTAGTCAATATTTATTTTTTCCTACAAATTGATACGCTAGTTTCAGCTTTAAAATAACAATTGCTCTTCATTCAACCAATTGTGACATTATCCCACACACACACACAACAACAACCACTTAATCAACAAATGCAGGAGATTTGCATCGATTTAATGTATATTGTTAAAATACAAATTAGGTCCTTTTAAACAAAACCATTCATATTCATGCCCCGTTTATCTGCAGTTCCAAGTCCCAGAGGCTTTAAAGAAATATGACATACTCTTCTCACCTCACTTTTACAAGCATGTTTAATGGCTGTTATAATTTCAGCAATTACACAAAGACTTCAGTTTGGCATAATGATGTAGCGCTCCCCTCCTCAGCTCCCTGCCACTGCTGCCCTGTCGAGGCGAGGCCCATTTCTCAGCCTGCAGATTCTGCTGCCTCAGCTCCCCTAATAGAGACTTTTATGTGGATGAACTATGACCTCAGCTTTGAGAGTATGGTTGCAGTACAAATGTTGTTGTCCATTAAAAGCGGCTTACAGAGGCTTTTTTTCCAATGTTCTGAAGCAAAGTTATTTAATCAACGAGGCAGTTCCTACACACCTAAACTAGCAGTCATTTTTCATCTTTAGGCCCATGGGGGAAAACGCTCTGATACTGTCATCCATCTGAGAGGAGAAGTGCAGCGAAGATGTCCAGATTTCATATGGGCTCAAGACAAATCTCTTTTCACCAAGTTCTGTAAAACTTAAGTCCCAATCTGCTTTTGAGAGCATATCAACTACTGAATGTAGTTATTGAAAAGAGGGTGAAAACTAAACTCACATCAGTAGTTCAGCTGTGTTACACAAAAATACACAAAAAACAACAACATTAAATCATACAAATCCACCTGCATCACCACAACAACGCAGTGATTGATCTTTCAGTGATGCATTAAACCATAAACAACAAACATACAACGCTGCATGTGACGAAGGTAACTTCGTCACTGTGGACTGATGGCTTCGGGCCTTGCATATGTGCACATTTTTATACAATTTATACTATTTATTGTATTTTATTTTGAAATGTGTTCCCCTTTCCCCATGCCTGTTGCCATTGATTGTGTGCACCTGGTGCCCTGTGTTGTCTCCTCCCCCCTCACCTGTGTCCTGTTGGGTTGGGCATTTAGGCTCTGGGGTTTTTCTGTTTGGAGGTGTGTGTGTGAGACCCTGGAGGCTGCAGGCTGTGCTCAGGGAAACAACAGCAGGATTGAGGCTGTGTGTCATTGTGATCATTTCATAAATGCCCACACCGGGTTGTATTTTTGGAGGTTCTGCCTCCTTGCTTGGTCGGGCCGCTCAATTGTCAGCTTCACACTGCACCACGCCCTTGCTGATTATTTAGCACAGAAAAGCCAAAACATATTTATTTATGGAATATTACGCTGTTATTTTACTGAAAGAAAACGAACATACCTGATATTGTTCTTGAGAACTTTTGAACAGCTCTGGCACTTGAAAGTGGTGTTGGGTTTCTGCGCATCCTTTTTCATCATATTTCCGTCAGATCTACCGTAGTAGAACTCTGAAACCAGCATGATGCGCTTGTTTGCACCGATGTGCACGGCTGATTCGGCTGAAGCTTCTAACACTGCACAGCAGCTCTGAAATAACAACGTGTTTTACATGAATACGACAGCTTTGGGGTCTGATTTGTATTTAAATGGTTCATCCAACGTTTTACTTAATAATACTGATGTCTAAATGTTTGTTATGTTAACAACAAAAAACTGAAATGAGGGTGGGATAATAGAATAGGCAAAAACAAATAAAAGTGTGATGTAATTATTGGTAAGTAACAAAATCATGTTGAGGGGATTTTGTTTATCAATCACATCCAATCTTTGAGTCAAGTTAGAAAAATAAACCACTAGGAAACAAATAGTTGTAATAATAAAAAGCTTTTTTAACATTCAATTTTAACCTGGGGTCATAATCAATCTGTATAATAAGCCGTTCATCGTTTTTTCAGTGGATACTTTACTAACACATTCTCATTGACACGGTTCCACAAGATTTTAACTCACCTGCAGGTGAAACGTCAGGGCCTCCTGTGAGAGGAATTCTTCTCGACACTTTGGGCACTGTTTCTTTAATACCCCATTTTTCACTGACCCTACAAAACAATTTACATGTCATTTCTGAATCTAATAACCCCCACAAAGAACAAAAAAACGTAAAGGGTGTGTCTACAGTAATGACATTACAAATCTGTATAGAAACGTACCCAATTCAATCTTCGCTTTTTTGGGTACGCTGTCTTTTTGCTGTGGTGGTAGCACTCGCTTGACTAAAATTTGATCTGTAAGCAATCCTAAAACAAACACATTAACATTTTAGTTTTGGTATTGTCAGCTGATTGATCTGCAAGTATGATAAAGCATGGTTATTTGGTACATCAGAAGAGAAAATACCTCTGTTATTGTCATTGTAAAGGGCATTTGCTGCCACGGAAAAGGTCTTTAGAGGTTGTGGGTTGGACCAGTTGAGTTGCAGCTGTTGAGGCTGTGCAGAGTAAACAGCAGGACTCTGAACGTTGGATAAAGTCACAACGTTGTTGCTGATTTGTTGCACCTGAGGTCTGTGGACAGCACCGGGCATTACGGTGGCGGTGGTGATCTGCTGGAAAAGATGCTGCTGACCAGCTGGAAGACAAAACAGACGAACTCTCCTGATACACTCGGTATCGCCAGCTTAAATATAGAAATGCCTTTAATGAGGCGTTACTATTACAGTCTCAGAATAAAATCACTGGTTATTAGGGGAAGACAAGTTACTCCTGAGTTGTATATTTCACTTTGTATTTACCTGGTACTATTGTAAATGAGGTCCCAGGAGGGTACTGGCTCCCAAGAGAGGCAATAAAGTCACTGTTGTTTGCTAGATGCGGAGAAGTGACAATAAAGCCCTGAAACAAAAACAAAAACAAATCCCCACTTAACGCTAAGGTGTTTTTGCTTATTGGATCGAATTCGCAAATATTATTTTAATACCAACAATACCTGGTTATTGACGATAAGAGGCTGCGGGGTCAATGTTGTCAGATTGGGTGCTGTAGTATTCACGGCATTTCCAGCCACACTCAACGGCAGCATTATGGGGGAGGGGCCACTGGCCGGCTGAGGAGCAGGAGGCTTGACTTCCTGTTTCCCTGCACGGTTACTCTGAGGAGGTGGAGGGTTGGGTCTTCCCTCCTTCTGCTTATTAGCTGCAATAACAAACAAAAGAGCCAAAATAAGTAAATAATAAAATTGGATGCAAGTAATGCTTCACATAAATATGTTTAAAATGTTCTATGACATACAGAGCACTCCAACGAAGATGGGCTCATCATCATCATCATCATCTATCAAGTGAACTTCAGGAGCTTGTTTCTGCCACGGCTCCAGCTCCTCCTCCACACACTCCATAAAAAGTTCAGACATTGTGGAGCTGTAAGAGGAAAAAAACGAAATATTTAGTCAACTTGAGCTATACTATATATTATTTAACGTTTTGACAAATAAGGCAAACCAATGACCCATTATATTTTATAGGCAGCTTTTATTCAGGGACATTTTAAGTCAAAACTTGGGTACAAATATTGGGATAACTATTTGATATACTTGTAGCAGATGATACATATAAAAGATACAAACAATACCTAAAAACCATTAAAAAAAAGTCCCCTTAGGAACAAATAAAACCACTAGTTTTACAAAACCATTAAGTTAGCGTTGATGTTCACAAATTGAATTAAATCAACTTGGTTAAGATGGTGCCAAAAACAGCCTGGGTGCAGCTGAACGCTTTATAACGAGATGGAAAGACCTGGTAATAATTCTCAAATGTTATGGGATCTATACATTTATTAATTTGAGAGGCACAGTCTTCCTCAACATTTAATTATTTTTTAAGCAAATGGCAGGGAGACGATACATTTTTTAAATGTCACACCTGGAAAAGCTCAGGTGCGAGTAATAAAATGAACAATGTCTGATTTAAATAAAGCTGCTTTTACCTACTATGATGGATCATAATATCTGCAGTAGAAACCCTTTAGTCTTGGGCAGACACCTTTACTGAATACATTTTCAAAAGTCAATATGACACGGGCAGCAATATGAATTGTGGACTAGATCATAATAAGAGCAAACAAAACTTTCTAATTAGTTTTCAATATGAAATAAAATATTGCTGTAGACATCGCCGTATAAACAAATACACTATTAAAAAAAACGCTTTTATTACTTCTTTATCATTATTTGTTTCTGTTTGACAGGTAAATAACATGAGCTTTTTTCTTGTCAAATAAAGTACATTTTGATAAAATAAATCCAAGAACGGTAATGCTGGTATATTTTTGAGCTAACATTATTCTCCTTACAACAAAATCCTAAATGTATTATACGATTTGTTTTAATTAATTAGAAACGTCAATAATATCCTGCTTCAAACTTCTGAACAGTCACCACATAAAGCTTTTTTTAGCATAAATAAAAGTGATGTTAGCGCAGCTGGCTCAGATTTAACTGCTATGTTGTTGTTAGCCTCTTTTCTTTACAGCAGCTAGGTAGCTAATGCTAACTAGCTAACACGTATGATTTCCACTGCTCCTGGTGATCACCTGCTGCAGTCTGCGATGGGGTTGATTAATTATGCCTTGTTTAAGTAATGATGTGCAGTAATGATGTGCTTAATCACACATCATCTTAAATTCATCCTAGCATTGAGTTGTCGATCAGCTCACCACACATTAGCTAGCTAGGATCCGTTAGCATGCTCACATTGACTGGGATGTCGGGACAAAGACCGCCCTCAGAGTTTGTGTTTCAGCCTACCTCTCTCACCCTGGCCCCTGGCTCTCAGCGCAGACCCGGGTCTAGATACAAGCTGCAGCACCAGCCGTGGGTCTGAGGGGGATATGTGTATCAGACAGTGCGGGTTTACTGGACATCACACAGAGGGGAAGGGACAAGTATCGCCTCTCCAAAGAAACCGGAAATGCTCGGACTGTGTGGACCAATCAGATTGCCGGCCGCCTTTCTCCTCATCACTTCCTCTGTGTCAGCCTATACAGTATGTTGTAATGTATAGTAGTGGTGTAAAGTGACTAAGTAGTTTATACTTGTTTTTAAGTAAAACCTATTTTAGTAAGGAGCATGGATCAGGATGAAGACAGAGAACCTGTCTCGTCTCCTTCACATACTCCCCTGACTCCATGTGGTGAACATGCTGCCAGACTTTGCTTTGATGTGCCACTAGATTCAACTTTAAGTATTAGTCAGGTTCATTATAACTTGATTTTAACTTTCGTGGGATTTTTGTGGGGATTTGCTAAACTATACATTTTTGGAAAGGGTATTGTATAAGGATTCAGAAAATCTATGTTTCCATTTGCTCAGATGTCTATATGGCGGCTATATTGGAATTTCCAAAATGGCTGCCGTAAAATGTAGGTTTTGTAATATCTCGGCTTCTAAATAAGCTGGAACATTGATTTTAACTTTGAAACCTACATTTTCAGGGTCAAGGAATCCAATGATGGTAGTTACAAAGGTAATAAATGTTACAACATTAACCCTTCGATGCATGAGTCGGTCGAAAAGGACCTGTGCAAAGTTTTTTTAAGTATACAAAAACAAATTGATTTGATTATTTTTCATCAAATACTCTATAATAGACCATTATCATCTATAGATAAATATAAAATATCTGTAAATTCAATTCAGGCAAAAAAAAAAAAATCTTATGTGAGGCCCTGTGCGACCACAGTTTTTCGTCTCCTATGGCAACGGCCCTGTTCTTCAGACTTCTGATATTCTTCTGATATTTGTTGTGGACCACACATAGCCTACTATATGAGAAGTATCATCCCTCAAGGTTATTTTACACAGTTTGCCATCAGCAAGGGGATCTCAGAATCCTATCAGCTGACACATCTAGGATGGGTTGTTGCATCTGCATTATCCAGAATGAAAGCAGGAGAAACCTCCAGCAATATTGCTGGAGGTTTCTCCTGCTTTCATTCTGGATAATGCAGATGCAACAACCCATCCTAGATGTGTCAGCTGATAGGATTCTGAGATCCCCTTGCTGATGGCNTCTTTAAATCAATAATCAAGTTCAAGGCAAACATTAAGCAGTACACACCACCACCCCACACACACACACACACACACACACACACACACACACACACACACACACACACACACACACACACACACACACACACACACACACACACAATGTTCGTATTTAATGACAATCAAACATGTGGGACACGTCAAATGAAGCGAATACGTGTGAACGGAAAACTTTTTTGAAAACGCATACTGTGCATAAACGCAAACGTTCCCCTGTGAGCAGCACAGCAGCACCTCAACCAGACACAAATATCGTAAACATCACTCACAAGGGTCTTATGACGTGCCATTCGTCATGCAGGTGGGAGTATTTGGGATTTGCGTGTGGTGTGTGTGGGAGACTTCCCCCTTTGTGTCCCTCTGGGTCTGCAGAGGTCTGAAAGCTCGGCCTGCTGATAAAAACCAGCCTCCACTCCCACACTACAAACCATTAACTTCATCATTACCACTCCATCAATGCGCATATCCGTTGAAATGTAAAGAGACACGGAAACAGGCATGCCTTCCACGCTTCCAGTATGGAAGTCAGTGGACACTACTTTGCAGACAAGTGAGAAAATGTAAAACTCCAACACAGTTTACTGACCAAATAATGTGCTAATCTCTATTATTTGTATTTGTCATACCGTAGACATGACTAGGAAGCAACACGTGTTAAGTATTTTGCCGAAAGACCCTTCGACAATTCGACTGTGACGATGAAAAAATATAAAACCTGGTACTATTATCACAGCTAGGGGGCAGCATGACTCTGTGACATTTTGAACACACAAGCTTTTATTTTTGTTCCACCTCCACTTACTGTAAGTGCCAGAGATGTTTCCAGATGCCTGTAAGACTTGTTAAACGTGTATTCCTATTTACATTTGTGAAATAGAGAGCACGGTGTGAAAAAGCGTATCTTTTCAAACCCTGTACATGCTTAAACTCCCACAGTTCCCTCACAGAAATGACTCTCTCAGCTGTTTACCTCTTTATTTCTCAACAGTCACTCACTGGTTGAAGTCACTCAAGCATATAAAGGAATCCCAAGAATGATCACCTTGTTAAGCATACACAACTTCCCCTCTTAAGCCGTCCTGCCTGCAGCCCCCATTAGTTTACTGCTTGGCTTGACACAAAAGAGAGAGATAATACTGTGGCACTCAATAGGTTGATTTGTTTGTTCCTCACAGAAAAGCAGCAAATGAAGGCCATGCCCTGCCAACAATAGCCAGTCAGCCAGTACGCATAAGAAAGCCCTGTCTATTCTCCCCCTTGTTCTGCTGTAGTCCGCTGTAGATTCCGCATGAAAGTAGATACATGTTGTTTTTACACTGAGCAACCTAAAAAGACCATCTTGATATCAGTCAAAACTGATCTTGACAATGTGACCTAAATCAATTACAAATACAAACACTTTCAACTGTGTGCTGCAGCTCTACACCAGCAATCTGTTTTTTTTTTGTTCTACCCAAGAGACTGAAGGAGGTCAAAGCTCTGCAGTGAAAGGCGATAAGGCCCAAACACAGGAATCATATGCCTCATATGTTCCAGCAGGAAAAACAGTGACCCACTGAGCACGGAATTATAGATAAAGGGCCGCTATTGACACAGCTGCATTGACCCCACGGAGATTTTATCAGAGGATGAATGAAGTCAGTGTACAAGGATTTCTAGACAGATCAAATTGTCTCAGTCAAAACCTGCTTTTCTACTCTACTAGGTTTCAGTGAAAAACAGGTTAAAATTCTCATCTCAAAAACATTCATTCACAAGTTGATATATTTTAAAGACACTTTGAAACAAATCCAACTCCAGAAAAACCTCCACCACTTGTCAAAACTAATAATTATCAATGCAAGTGTAGTAGTAGATAAATATATGAAATTATTTTTAAATGTGAGGGGAGTTGTTTCAGATTTTTAACTAGGTATTTGAACTTTTTATGGAAAAATCCCAAACAAATGAATTAAAACGTTTTCATACATATTAAAACATGTGTGATAGGAAACTTTCAATTGTAAAATGAATTGCCAATAATTATTCATCAAGCAAAAAAGCATGCGAGAGTAACTGAAAGTAACTTTATTTGAGTGTCAGCAGGATTTATGAACAAACTATTGTGTGTACAGAGAGGTAGTGGCAGCAAATTGTCTCAATCCACTGTCCCTCCACAGGCATCAGACATTGGCGCAGAGCCAACAGAGAGTGCAAATCATCACAGTGTAACAAAACAGCAAAGGTCAGTTTATCTCATCTGAAGAAATTCCCTCTTTCACTTCAAGGAAAATGTAAGGACATTTGCAAGGCTATACATGCACAGTGACTTGATTCAAACACACACACATGTATTAGGTTAAAGAAAAATACTTATTCAGAAATGGCCAGAGATAAAAGTTGAATCAAAGTGTTTCCAGTATAAAAATGTCTTCAGAGATGAACTGTTTTGATATACGTTTAGCACTGCAACTGATGAAAAGTTAGATTCAGAATCAATAATCACAAAAAAGATAAAAGAAAGTCAAATAAGATATCACATGATTGCATTAAGCAAGCTTTTCCAGTAGATGTGAAAGCAATACTGTGGTGTCACTTATATTTGCAGTAAACTGTATGTAACAATTAAAATAAATGCCTGTTTATAGTATTTTTTTGGAGCTAATATTTGTATCAAACCATAGACAACTGTATAAAAAAACAATGTGTACAAAGTCCCTCATTTACTGTTCCCTAAAACCTTCACTGAGCCAGGATTGTGTGTATTCAACCATGAATAAATAAAAATAAAAGAATCCTGGCACTGCTCACTTCATATACTCGGATTTGATTTTCATTCATTAAAAAAGCGGATATATGTCATTAGCCTAAACGATATACACATTAATATTCAGATACTGTATGTAAATTTAACATATTTGATAGGCATAAAAAGTGAGAGTTAGTCAACTCATAATTGTTCACAAAGGCAGTACTGGTTGCGTCGTTTTACAGTGCATTAAAGAGTGCGTTTTCAAGTTTACTAATGCTAGGATAATCATGTTTAATCCATTTGTAAAACAAATAATAATCCACTAAGATTAAAATGTACACAAGGCTTATTGCGGGAATGTAGAATTACTAGATTTAACAGTATATACATTTAATTTCTATGGGACATGTTAAAACATTAAACAAATGTATCATTTCATCCTGTAATTTCAGAGCCGCTAAAAATAATACTGAGTGAGTTTATGGACAAGGAGATTCTACCGGAATTAATCACACAGATGTTTCCGTGTAACATTTACAGTTTCATTTGCTAACAGCACATACATCTCCGGCTGTTTGGTCTCACAGTGATGCATGTAAAGCAGCCGTTATCTTCCACCTCAGGGTTTGTTTATAAAGTGTAGGTGGACAGGATGTTGTCCTGACTTGAGGAGCGCTTGTACCCCAATGAGGATCTGAAGTACGTCTCTCCGTCGGTGCTGATGTCGTCATCGTCGTCATCATCGTCCAGAGTGTTGAGCAGCGGAGCGGAGTTGCTCTTACGCCTGGATGAGACAGAAACATATAATTAGGACCCTGAAAATGTTTGTTGTGTTATTGTTTAAGCATTTTGTCATGTCGGTCTTCTACGTATGAAAACTGGGCACATCAGATATTGTCTTTATGCGTTCACCTGATCTCACTCCGCAGAGATTTGAGCTGGCTCTGGAGCTGCTCGTTGGACTCCTGCTGCTCGTCCAGGTCTCTCTGCAGCTTCTTCTTGCTATGCTCCAGCCGATCGATCTCTTCCTCAGCCTCGTCCATCTGCCGCTTCAGGGCCTTTAGACGCAGATTTAACTTCAAGAAGAACCAACACACACAGGGTTAAAAGGGTCCAACAAAGATCAGCAAGA